AAGAGCTTTGTGATTGACTAGGAAGGAAAACACACAAGGGAAATGAGAGATATAAGTTTAAGGTCAGAACTATGCATCAATGGAGTTTCTTGTGAAAATTCTGGCTTGAGGGAGTTTTGGTATGTTTCAAGGTGCTTAAGCTCCTGTTCTAGCTCACAAATAGTGTCTCTATTTATAAGCAATACGTTTGGAAGCTTGTTGTTGATCAGAATTCAAAATCACAAGTTTAAGCATATCATGTGATTTTTTGAGAAATCCAAGTTTCAAAGTCTTGTATACTTGCTAAGATAGAGTGATTATGCTTTAAACACACTTGCTTCTGACTTTGTGGATGGAGTGTACTTAAAGAGAACAAGTTAGAAGCTTAAGAAGCTGACTTTGTGCATAAAGCTTGCTTTACAAGAATTGAAATAGTGACTTTCTTTCTAAAATGGCAAAATGCTTTGGACAATGCTTGAATCAATTAGACAATTGATCAATCAGTTGTGTAAATATTAAATTAAGGAGTTACAAACAAGTTTGAGGCCTTCAAAGTTAAGATTATACAGCATGGCTATGGATTCGGTTCATGTTGCATCACAAATTTTGCCTTGCAAAACAACTTGACACACTAACTTCTGGCCTTCGATTCTCCTTGCTCACAAATGATCTCAATGAGTTATTGGATATTTTGGAAAGCTTGTAATATGCTCTAAAATCCCTCTTTGAATCACTTTTGCAAAGTACAAATGGAACTATATGAAACTTGGCCCAGAAGTTAGGTCAAAACCTTGACCAAAAATGCCCAAAATTTCACTGTGTTTTAGTTTCATGACCATGACTTCTTGGATTAATAACTTGATATCCAAGAATTTATAGGAGGATTTTTGTAAAGAAAATTTTTAGATCTCATTGATATCTAAAACTTTCATGTTGAAAGTTTCCTTTGAATCATCTTGTATCATGGTGAAAAATTGGCTCAAAGTTGTGAAAAAATATGAAGTTTTCAACACTTGGAAAAATTTCTAAGTTTGAAAACTTTGAATTTTCAAAATGAAATCTTGACTTTTTGATTTCTTGATGAACAAGTTTCATATTTTTACATGTTTTGATGAATTGTGATCTTTGACACTTGATTTTGACCAAAAAGTCAAAGTTTGACTTTTCAGTGTGCAGTTGACTTTTGATCAGTTGACTGAAAATCAACTATCAATCAATTGATCTTGAGAGATGTTTTAAGTCATGCCATTAGGTCAAAATGATGCAATTGAAACCTTGATATCATGTCTCAAACTAATTAACCATTTGCTAGGTCAAAATCAAAAATTGCCCTTTCTCAATCAAAACCCTAATTTTGACCATTTTGCCCTTTTGATGATCTGATCAAATTTCTTGAGGAATTATGGTCCAAACTTGATCAAATGACATATATGAGTTTATAATGTTGATATGGATAAAAAATGATGAAGTTTGACTGTAAATTGGTCACAATTGACTTTTTCCTCAATACAGTTGATTTTTAGGTCAACTGATCAATCGACTGAGCAAAAATATGATCTAAGACTTGAAACTTGGCATGTGCAATTTTGAGGGCCCGTAATGATCTATGAAAGTCATATGAGACATTAAAAGTTCAATTATTCTTGTGCAATCTCAAACCCTAATTTTTAGTCATCAGAGCTTGAGGAAGTGTCTTGAGCTGATCAATCCTTGTACAGTCTTGAACCAAAGGAGATCTTGTGAGAAAATATTTGATAAATGAGAGAAAAAATTTTAGAATACAACAATCTGTAATTGTAAAAGCCGGAAGAAAAAAATAGAGTGGAACAATCATATTAAAGATTATAAACCTAAAAATATCTTATTATAAAAAATGTCTTGTTATATAAGACGAGACAAGTCAAAGAAAATTTTATCATTATAATGATGAACTGACTTTGAGCAACAACTATTTAACTTTGATTTCTTTAAAAAATTAAAAAATGAATATATTATCACCATAATTTTCTTGTTTAGTCTCCAATGTCCCAAGTTATATATTCTCATGTATATTTGTTGTTTAATAAACCATTTTGTTATTACCACATGTATTTCAAGTAGATTAACATGTATGTCTACATTGGTATCAAGAGCATGACCCGAGTATGTTGGCATATCTAACTTTTAGGGTGATTCTTTAAAACTTTGTTGGCATAATTTTTTTAGAATCTGATTAATAAAATATATTTTTGAATTTATAATTTATAATTTATAATTTATAAGTTTATATGAAATTTGAAACATGTTTGATAATGGTCTTTTGATCATGAACTTATAATTTATTTTAGTAGTAGTTTATAGTTTATTTTCATATGTTATTTTAAATAGCGTTTTAGCTATAGCTTGTCTCTTATTATATTTTCTTTCTTTTTAATTCTTATTATTTTAATAAAAACTCACTTTTATTTTTTATAATTTATTTTAATTTAAAATAAAATAATTATATATTAAATATTTTTATTTTATTTTATATTTATAAGTTAATTGAAACGCTAATTTTACCAAATAATTCAATTAGCTTATCAACTACCAGTTTCAACCATCAACTATAAACTATAAGCTATCAATCACCAGCCATCAGTTATAAGTTATGAATTATCAATTAACTTATCAGTCAACCGCTATTTTTATCAAATAAATTTTTAATATTAATGAAGGTGATTGATCCATTCTTCTGAGATCTTTTTTTGAACGTATATGCACATATTAAATATAGTATTGATTTGGCAAACTGAATTTTTCAAGGCTCTGGTCGCAGTGTTCTAGTAGGTGTGTCAAATTTAAAAGTTTAGTGAAATATGATTAATAACTTTCAATTGTGATTAATTTTTTAAGCTATTTCATTGAAGAATGATGTGTATCTCTCAATTGTGAGTTGCTTAACTACTTCAAAAAGTGTTGAGTAAGGTGTTTGAATTATTAATATAAAAATACATAAAAATTAAGATAAATACAAAAAAATTAAGAGATAAAAATATATAAAATGGTATGTTTGATTGATTGTGATTGTTGAAAAAATTTACAAATTCAATAATATGAAAACACTATTCTTATTAGCCGAAACGATGTGACATGTAGAAATTAGTCTTTCACAACTATTTACACAAGTGATGTGTTAGTTTTCTTACTATTAAAAGTACGCATCGCCTCATGTTAGACTTAATTCTCCAGCCTCTCAATATTTTCTATTTTTTTTATCCACGCATATGAAACTCTCTCAAAATGTAGTTAATTGTTTTTAGTTTTCTTAATGTTATAAATATGAGTGTTGACCTAGTTAAATTCTTAAAGACATTCGTAGATCTGACTAAATTAGAGGAGAATTCGACCTTTTCACTTTCAATAATATTTACACTTGTATAATACTCTATTGAGGAGTCTAGAAAGTGAAGCATCGAAAGTGTTAATAAACTAAATATTCAGAATTCAAGAGACTTTGATACCACATATTCACTCAAAACTTTAAGACATTATGGATATGAGTTCTTTCTCTTATAAACTCAACATTTCCTTCATTTCTAATCGATGTGAGACTTAATCACTCACACTTGAATCCTAATAATCTCTCTCACAAGTGAGAGTCACTCACATTACTAGTCTTGATCCACACGATGATCAACTTCCGCTCCTCCACCAAACCTAACCATGACTCTGATACTACTCATTGAAGAGTCTAGAAAAAGACAGAAATGTCAATGAGCTAGACGTTAAGAATTCAAAACCTTAAAAACATTTCTCTTATAACCTCAATATTTTTTATTTATTTTTAGTCGATGTAAGACTTAACCACTTACGCTTAAATTCTAACATCGTCTATCAACCATATAAATATTGTATGATCCCAACTTAATTGTCTCAATTTCGACTAAACATATTATGATACAAACAAAGTTACATAAATCCATTTAAGAAGTTGATTAGTCCCAACTAATGTTATTTCATATCAACATGAGACCGAACTTCTGATTTCTTTTGCTTTAATACTAATTGTTATCAAGTATCAACTATTACACAATTAAATATTTGCATGGTGGTGATTTTTATATATAATTTTTTTTTTGACTCCGTGCAACTTAAACGAGAGTTTATAATAGAAGTTATGCATATTATATCATATAGGAGTAGTAGTCTACAAGTGACAAATAAATTTAAAATTCAATTCTATATTTAGAATTAACTAATACATGTGATGAATATGAATATAGCCTTTGTGTCAACTTCGTGCGCTGGAGTATTATGATGCTTTGAATGATTTTTTTCCTTTCCCAAAAAGTATAGAATAAAAAAATAAGCATAACACGTTACTAATTAGTACTTCTATATTAATTAAACTAAAAAACACAACTTTCTAATATTACCAAAAAAAAGAAGTTAAAAGGACAAAATATTGAATATATAACCGTCAAAATTAACTCCATTTTTTATATCGAAACTTCTGTTTTAATCTAACCTTCATAATGCAGAGAAGTTACTATTTATAAGTGGTATAGTAAGTGGATGTTGATAAACTAATTATAATTAAATCTTCAATTAATATCCAAATGAAACAATCTTTAATTAAATATCCAACCAAACTTTATACATTACCTCTTTGAAAATATAAAGGATTAAGATAATAAAAAATTGAATGATACAAATCTCAAATCTATTATACAAATTTATTTAAATAAAAAGATAGATATCTTTTCAACTTAATTAAATATTATTTATTAATAAAAAATTATACTAATTTAACTCAACTAATCTTTAGTAATTTAAATTACTTCACTCATCCTTTAATATAATAAAAATAAAAAGAAAAATGTTAACCAGTATCTTTAAAATACTTTTAGAGCATTATTTAAATATTTAAAGTAATAAGGGTAATAAGGGTATTACAAAAATAAATAACAACAACATGAGCATATATGTCATGTGCTATGTTTTTTATAACATGTAGAAAGTTTTGTCTTTTTCAAACATCTCTCTCTCTCTCCTCACACACACACTCTCTCTCTCTCTCCTCTGCATCACCGTTTTCCATCAACCTCTCTATCAAACACAAACACTCTCCCCACTCGTTCCTCCCACGCATCACATCACATTCACATTCTTCAAACTTTATCTCCCTTCTCAAATCAATAAACCCAAACTTGCATTAATTCAATACAACAAATCCAAGAAACAAACATACCCCACATACAACAACGACCACTTTACCTTATTTAATCACCACCACCCACACATCTTTCCATTTCTCATCTTGGGTTATCACTCATTTCCATTTACTTCACATACACGCAATCAAAATCCAACCTTTTCATATCTCTCCTATGTAACTGTTTCCAAATTCTAACCAACAAAAAAAAACTCTATTAATTCCAATTTCAACGTTACCCTTTTCAATGAGTGCACTATAGGTAGTGGAAAGTGATAACCTTTTTTGTTTTTGGTGGTTGTGAATTCATTGTTTAGAGAAAAACAACTCAGATGGATTTCTCTTCCTTCATAACATCTCTTGGTACTTCCTTTTTGGTGTTTTTGGTTTTGATGATTTTGTTTACTTTTTTAAGAAGTAAACCTGGAAACAATGTGGTGTACTATCCTAATCGGATCATTAGGGGTTTGGATCCGTTTGAAACTGGATATAAGTCAAGAAACCCTTTCTCTTGGATTATAGAAGCTTATTCTTCTTCTGAACAAGATGTTATTGATATCTCTGGTGTTGATGCTGCTGTCTACTTTGTCTTTCTCAGCACTGGTTTGTAATCTTTCCTTTTCTTTCTATGTTCATGTGTTTCATTCTATGTTATTTACCTGTTGTTGTTTGGATGTGTTTGTTTGTTTCTAGGATAAAGAAATTGATTTTGAATGAAAAAAATATCAATTTGAGTATAGAATGAATCTTAGGATCCTAGTTCACATTTGGTAAGCAACTATGTTGGGCTATTGTTTAAATTTTTCAAATTGGTTTTAGTATTTAAAGGTTCAAATAGGATTATTGAGAATCATGAATCCTTAGAAATCAGTTTTTTTAAAGTGGTGAATTGATTGAACTTTTAAGTCATACATGAAATCAGGGTCATCTTTGAGAGTGTGCAAGATGGACTACATCAGAGGACCTCAAAATTTTCAGGATAAAATTATGGCTAAATAGGGCCTCATAATAGACCTGTCATGGTTTAATTCGTGACTAAATAGGGTCTCTATTTGTTTTGTCAGGGTTGAATCATGGCTAACTAACACAGGACTTCGGCTCTGCATAAAATCTCAAGCTTAAGTCTATTGGAAAACATTCACTTCCTTTCCTCTTAACAAAACTGTTGCTTGCTGATATGTCAACTATGGAACTCTTTGGCTTGTATTTAATGATTTCACTCTAAAAATGTGTTGTCGCGTGCCATAAAAAAGTTATTCTAATTTCCAATTGTTTACTGACATGCTTATCATATGACAGGCAAATTGTGTAATCAGTTTTTAATTCTTACTCTTCATGTTCATTTCCAGTATTCATTATCCTAATATTAGCCGGCATTATTCTGCTACCGGTTCTTCTACCTGTTGCTATAACTGATGGTGGTGGAAAGAAACAATCAGTTAGCAAAGGGACTTTCAATGAACTTGACGAGTTATCGATGGGAAACATCACAGTAAGATCAGTAATTCTTACCATTTTCATATAATATAGTGTTATGGTAACTTTTCCTTATGATTAAACTTATTCTTATATGTGTAGGCAAGCAGTGCAAGGCTGTGGGCGTATTTTATCGCCTGCTATTGGATTTCACTTATTTCGTTATTCTTCTTATGGAAGGCTTATAGACACGTGTCGTTTCTGCGATCTGAAGCTTTCAAGTCTCCTGATGAAAAGCCTGAACAGTTTGCGATTGTTGTGAGAGACATCCCTCCTGTTCCTGAGGGTCAAACTAGGAAGGAACAGGTTGACTCTTATTTTAAAACCATATATCCCGAAGCATTTTACAGGTCTATGATTATAACAGACAATAAAGAGGTGAACAAGATTTGGGAGGAGCTGGAAGGGTATAAGAAGAAGCTTGCTCGTGCCGAAGCAGTATATGCAGGCTCAAAAACAACTGCTAAACCAGAAGGTACAAGACCAACCAACAAGACTGGCTGCCTTGGAATTATTGGTAAAAAAGTGGACAGCATAGAGTATTGCAATGAAAAGATTAATGAATTGGTTGCGAAATTGGAAACTGAGCAAAAGGTGACTCTCAAAGAAAAGCAACAAAATGCTGCTATAATCTTTTTCTCAAATAGGGTGGTTGCAGCATCTGCATCTCAGAGTTTACATGCGCAAACGGTTGATAGGTGGTCGGTTTTCGATGCTCCTGAACCCTGTCAACTACTATGGCCTAATTTGAAAATCAAGTATTTTCAAAGAGAAATGAGGCAGTACTTGGTGTATTTCATTGTTGCACTCGCCATATTCTTTTACATGATTCCCATCACGTTTATATCTGCATTTACGACTTTGAAGAATTTGGTGAAACTTCTCCCATTCCTAAAATCAGTTGTGCAAATCAGCGCTTTGAGGACAGTGCTGGAAGCTTATCTCCCTCAAATTGCACTCATAGTTTTCTTGGCTATGTTACCAAAGTTGCTTATGTTTCTGTCTAGATTAGAGGGCATTCCAACTGAAAGCCATGTGGTCAGGGCTGCTTCTGGAAAATACTTTTATTTTACGGTGTTGAACGTTTTCATCGGAGTTACTTTAGGTGGAACCTTGTTCAAAACATTCAAGCAAGTTCAGGATAAACCAAAAGATGTTGTGCGCTTGCTAGCTGAAAGTCTTCCCGGCAATGCTACTTTTTTCTTGACCTACGTCGCACTGAAGTAAGATATCATCCTAACTTCAATTAGTTTTTGTTTATAGTTGTGGGCGATGTTTATGTTAACTGCGTTTCTACTAGACACATGAATAAGAAAATATTTCATCGTTGAAAAGAAGATTGACACAGCAAAAATAAACTGATTTTTCTTACTTTTTTTGTCTTAGGTTTTTTATTGGCTACGGCCTTGAGCTGTCCCGGTTAATTCCTCTTATTATCTACCATTTGAAGAAAAAATTTCTATGTAAGACTGAAGCTGAGTTGAAACAAGCTTGGGCTCCTGGAGATCTTTCTTATGCAACAAGAATTCCAAGTGACATGCTTATTGTCACAATTGTTTTCTGTTATTCTGTTATTGCTCCTCTTATCATCCCATTTGGTGCTCTCTATTTTGGCCTCGGATGGCTCATATTGCGAAATCAGGTAAACTACCTTAAATTCTGTCTTTTGAAACCTTTCCTATGTCTTTCGTGAGCACTTCGAATTTATTGTTCAAATATATAAACCACTTAACTTTCAACTCGCTTTAGCCAGAATCAAGTTTACAAAACCAATTCATTCAAAATCATTTTTTCAGTGCATAATAGATTGAATTCAGTGATTTATTTTTTCTTAAAAGATTGTCATACTAATAATATCATTGTCTCAATAGGCACTCAAAGTATATGTACCAGCATATGAAAGTTATGGAAGAATGTGGCCACACATAAACAACCGTATAATAGCAGCTTTGATATTGTACCAGATAACCATGTTTGGATACTTTGGGGTGCAGAAATTCGTGTATGCACCATTATTGCTTCCTCTTCCAATAATGTCGATATTATTCGGCTTCGTCTGCGCTAAGAGATTTTATCCATCCTTTCAAAATCAATCACTTGAGGTTGCAGCAGCTTCAGCGCTTAAGGGAGTTCCAAACATGGAACTGATGTTCAGGGCTTTCATTCCACCAAGCTTGAGTTCTGAGAAAATCGACGATGATCTGTTTGAAGATTTCGAAGATGCACGGTCTCAAGTTTCAAGATCAACATCATTTGTTTGATGTGGTTGTAGTTGTAGCAGTGTTGTGTAGTATAATGTTTTTAGATATTGTTGATAACAAGTTATAGGAATCAGGAACTGTTTGTGAATGTGATTATGTAAGTTGAGATTTGTTGGATTGAAAATACTATTACTATTTGTTCCACTTGTAATAGTTGTGTGAAGTGTTTTGATGTTTTATAATTCAATGTTTCTTCTGAATTTGAGTCAACACCAATATGGAAGAGATTCGTTGTGTCATTAAAGGAGATACAAAGTACTGTTGAGAATAGTGTCATTAAAGGAGATACAAAGTACTGTTGAGAATAGTGTCATTAAAGGAGATACAAAGTACTGTTGAGAATAAAATCAGTTGCATTGAGAAATAAGTGTGTGTTTCTAAATCCATATTGTTTAGAAAAGTAAAGGTTGAGCAATTTATAAGAGAACCTATACACTTATCACTTTAAGATTTTAGGTGAATATGTGGTGTGTCTCTCACTTGTTTGAGTGAGTTACCTTTAGGTGAATGTTTGACCCGATCATAAAAAATTGTTAACTCTCAACTTTAAAATTAAAAACTCGTGTTGAATTTGTTAGAAAACAGGTCAAAGACAACATGTATCACAAATGAAATGCTCTAAGATTTTCTTGTCAAAACATAGAGATTTATATAACAGAGTAGGGGAATTCCTACAAAATATGTGCTGCAATTAAAATAACAAAAATTTCAATTTTTTTAAAGATTAGTGCAAATATCTCAACTATTTGGTTTAGATTTTTATCCGTGGCTGAATACATCTCAGGTATTTCAAATGACTAACCCCTAGGTGTGCAAATGACAAGTTAGGTCAATTTTTGTGTGAAAGCCGGCCTTTAACCCAATAAAACCGATTAGATGTGGGTTCGATAAAGATAGAATGATCACTGCATTTTGGTAAATCTTTATTTATTCAGAATACACAAGTTCATGCCGAGTCAATTATTACACAATGAAATTCCTCCCATATTCCATGAAGATTAAAGGTTAAACATAAAATTCTGCATTAAGACAGACGCAATAGACAAACGCTACCAACTACAAAACTTTCAGCTAAGCTTTATTCCAGTTGAATTCAGCTGGCATAAATGTACTAAGGACATTGAAAAATAAAAATCAGATGACTATTGTGTTGCTTTAGCTTTGTGTAAATTGCATGCCTGTTTTTCCTCCAACTGTGAAATCATGTGGCTTCACAGAGCTGTGGTAAGGTTATATAACATGTTTTTGTTAGTATTAGCCCCTTCCAACCAAAAAATGAGCTTCATATGTTCAGGTGCCCAATTCCGACTACCTCTCCTTGCACACTAACCTGTGTTGTGAAATGAAAATTACTTAAAAAGTTGAGAAAAATCTCCAAGTAATCAACAAGATGTTTCAGATCAAATGTTAAACAGAACTTATCACAAGTCTCCAAATCAAGCTCTACAAGTGAGAAGCAATAGATCATTCCAGTTCAACTTGGACAAAACAGAACACCGTAAGCACATCTTTGGAACAAGGGCGTGACAAAGATACAAAATCGTCTAATCCCTACACACAAACCGCAAATCATTGAACAGAATCTTATACATCTTCTCATTCATACAAACATCCCTCTTCTTACATTCATCCAGCAACTCAAAAGCATCATCAACCCTCCCTTCGCGACACAATCCTTCCAAAACCGTCTTATACGTAAGATGATCCGGCGACCTAGAATGACTCAACATATCAAACATAACCTCAACAGCATCCTCAAATCTCCTCTCCAAAGCAAGACTACAAACAACAATGACATAAGTACTAGTACTAGGAACCAAACACTTAGCTCTCATTTCCTTATAAAATCCAAACCCCTGTTCCACCCTCCCTTTCTCACACAAACCCTTAGCAATATAACTATAACTATAACCATTGGGCTGGCAATCATACAAGCCCATTTCGCGAAAAACCCTAATCGCTTCATCGAGTTCCAAACACTTAGAATAAGCTTTAATAATCATATTCAAGACAAAAGTATCCGGTATGACACCATTAGTCTTCATCTGCTTGGTTAAAGATCGAACAGAATGCAGATAAACATAACAAACGTTTAGTTTATTGAATCTTCGAAGAAGCGAGTTGAAGAGTAATGTATAGGTTTCGAGATTAGGTTTAGAGTCTTGCGAGTTTAGCATTTTGTTGTAGACGTCGAATGCGCGGTTGAAGAGGAACTTGCGGGAGCAGCAGAAACGGATGATGGTGTTGAAGAGGGGGAGCGTGGGATCGCACGCGCCGGCGATGACTTCTTCGACTAGGGTTTCGGCTTGTTGGTAGCGGCGGGAGGTGGTGAGGTGGTTGATGATGGTGAGGTAGGTGAGGTGGGTGTGTTTGTAGGAGCGTTGTTGGGAGGTCCAGCGGAAGATGTCGAGGGCGAGGTCGGGGTCGGATTGGGAGGTTAAGGCGTGGTTGACGTCGGAAGGGGTGAAACCGGGTTTGAGATGGGTGACCCATGTTTCGAATTGTTTTTCGAGGGGGGTTTTGGAGGGGGATTGGGATGTTGGGATGGAGGAGAAGAAGAAGAGAGAGGTGGAATGAACAAGAGGTGGGTTGAAAAAGCGTTTTTTGGTGATGATGTTGACAATGGCCATGGCCATGGCTCGGGGAAACCCTTTCTTGGCTGACTCTGAATCTTTGGATTCAATGCGATGGAATGATTATCTTTGTGTTCTATACTGCTGCAAACAATTCACCTTCTTAAAAATCTCTTAATTCCTTTGTCTAAATCTTTTGTCTAAATCTTTGTCTAAATCTTTGAGGGATATCCTCTCACCAAATGAAACATTAGCTTTTAACTTAAAATTTATAAGTCCATATGTTTTGAATTACATCAAAGCTAGAACTTGTACTTTGGATTTTAGTGTTTAATTTAGATATATATTTTCATATTAAAAAACTTCAAATTATCTTAAAGATGTTTTACAATTTAAAAAATCAAATTTTTATGTAAAAAAAGCTAATCTATGTGTCAACATATAAGATTTTCAGGTTGATACATACAATTTATGTTCAGTACTTGTTAGCATATAAGGTTTTCAGATTGACACGTAAAAGTTATATATCAATACATATGATTTTCAAGTTGACACATAGACTGCAAATTTGTTCTATACATCGACACATCTGTATTTCAGGTCGAAACATACTGAAATAATTTAAAAAAATTATATTATGCTCTGTACGTGTCAGCACATACAAGTTATAGGTCGACACATAGAAGTATAAATACTTCTATAGGGCGATACATCAGAGCTATAGGTCGACACATTCTGTATATTTTCAAAATCAAAAGTTTATGTTTTGTTCAGATTGACACATACGTGTTATAGGTCGACACATAGAAGTAAAAATATTTATATAGGCGGACACATTCGAGTTATAGGTCGACACATACTGTATGTTTTTAAAACCAAAATTTTATGTTTTGTTCAGGTCGACACATATGTGTTATATATCGACACATAGAAGTAAAAATAGTTCTTTAGATCGACACATCCGAGCTATAAGTCGACATTTACTGAAACAATTTTGAAAAATTATATTATATTTTGTATGTGTCGACACATATGAGTTATAAGTCGACACATAAAAGTAAAAATACTTCTATAGGTCGACACATCTGAGATATAGGTCGACACATATTGTATGTTTTCAAAACCAAAACTTTATGTTTTGTTCAGATCGACACACAAGTGTTATAGGTCGCCACACAGAAGTAAAAATACTTATATATGTCTACAAATATGAGCTATAGGCCGACACATACTGAATATTTTCAAAACCAAAAATTTATGTTTTGTTCAGGTCAACACATAAAGTCTTTCGGGTCAACACATAGTAAAATTTCTACTATGTGTCGACACATAGACATGTCAGGTCGACACATACTGTTACTTTTCAAAAGCGTGTAAAAGTCTCTAATATTTTCTGTTTTGTTTCTCATTTAACACACATCATATAAATAACATTTGTGCATCATTTCAACACATTGAGACAAAAATATACAAAGTATTATTCATCATCTTCAACCTCTCTCTATGCTTACACACAACAATTACACATAATCATTTTTGTTTGGTGTCATCTAGATTTTGGTTGATAAGATCCAATTTAAGATTGTTGTAATCAAATTAGGTTGAGGATTCTTTGAGGGTTTCAAGGTAAATCCATTTGGGTTTTCTTCAAAGATCAAGGATTGGTTTGAGAGTTTTTCACAAGATTGTGCAATTTAGATTCATCCGAGTGAAAGCTTTGAAGAACGGGATTATATCAAAGGAGTAATGGTAACCAGAGGATCACTTTGGTAATATTGGATCACAATATGTTTGTAATTTGGATTCAACCGAGTGAAAACTTTGAAGAATAGGAGTTTTGTCAAAGGATTAGTGTAACACCCCATTTCTACCTGACGGATAATAATAAAATCAGAGTTCAACATAAAATAGAATGCCACATTTTCAACTTAAAATCAAACTTCATTTAATCGCAAATAAAACAGATACATAACACTTAACTTGGATGAACCGATAACAACTTGATTTATTCATTAACATCAAACAACTTTATATTGTTAAGCAGCGAAAATTTACATACCCAACTTCAATTCACTTAACGTCTTTAATCAACTAAAACAACTTCAAGACAACAGTTACTTCACGTAAACAACTTAAATATTCAGCAACAGAAATAATAATCAACAACTAATCATCAAGCGTTCATCCCCCCGAGTGCTACGTATCAGAGCGACAACACTGACTCGAACTAACGAGGTAACAACTATTCTTCTTGATTACCTGCACGTTACCAACAGAGGGAAAAATTCAAACAGAAGGGGTGAGATATCGAACTATATAATTGAATGTATGATAATTAATATATCAGAATCAGTTCATATAAAATCACCACTTCACAACTTTCAAACATCTTAATCTCAACAAAACATCAATACGATATAACAACTAATTTACAACCTTTAGGTGATACCTGTCAAAACAAGTCAACAACATAAAGCAACAACAAATCTATCTTCACCGTGACTCAAGATGCAACATCGAATGCGACTCAATTACAATGCACATGCATGTGGTACCATTGGAGCAAAACTCCCCACTTAAAAACATTTGCCAGTAATCTCGAGGCACAAAGCATAAGCCTTCAACTTTATATTTTGCCAATTCAGGCCAACGTGGTGCCAATTCTGGCCAACGTGGTACCAATCTAGGTCAACTTAATAATGCAAATGTATGTGACTTAATGAATGTAATAATCACATATAACAACAACAACAACGTATTCGACAACATTGGCATAAGCCTACAACTTAATCAACTTATCAATCACAACATATTCAACAACAACAATGTATTCGACAATGTTGGCATAAGCCTACAATTTAGTATGTCACAACAACAATGTCATATCAACAATTAGTAATGTGACAACAACACAATTTATTCGATAATAACTTATTTACAGCAATAACCAACCACACAATCTCATATACCGGAACCATTCAACTTAATTCGACTTCACCTACAAATCAACTTTATTCTATATAATTCTAACAAAACAAATAAACTAAAAATACCTATATGTATATACGACTTATTACGACAATTCCAACTAATTCCGATTAACCAATTTTACCGTCCAAATCTACAAATTCGGCTAATCGGTATTGCTTAATATACTGTTATTACTGCTATTTATTTATACTGCTACTAATCAATTTATTCTACTAAATTACTCTACATCTCTTATTTAGCTTACTGCTATTAATATATTACTTCTATTAAATTATTCATTTCCAACTCTGCAACTAAAACCATCACTTCTATTTTAATTTCTATGGCTACGACTAATATAATTCTGCTAATTATTGACTCTGCTATATTATTCCACCATCATGTAATATTAATTTAAGTAACATTAGGTACTGCACCATTCACTCTGCCTATTGTCACAACCACAAACAATTATATATATATATATATGGTGCCGATCGACACCCACCTTCTCCTCATCATCCTGCCGGTCGGCAAGGTCCTTCTCCCAGCATGTGCTGTTAGGCACAATGCCCCTGCCTGCCACTCGTCACGTTTTCCTTGGTTTTGTTTTTCTTCCGTCTATTACGAAACCAATACGGCTTCAAATCCAACAATGCAACACAATATCCCAGTAACATAAAATTATACCCAGTCAACACAGAGAAATTTTCCCCAACCAATTCATTGACAACAACCACATCTCAGTATCAATTACAATAATTAAACATAAACAGTAGTAATAAAACAACAACCTTTTACACAAAATCACACATGATAATTTTCATATAACCAACCCCACACGTCATTTATCATATAACCGATTATAAAGCAAGAATCCCACTCTTACCTGGTTTGGTTTGATGACAACTCTATGTGTCTCCGATTGAATCTCCTCTTGGCCTCTTGGTTCAACTTCACGTAGCTCTCTTCTTCTCCAATAACCCTATTTTCCTCTTTCTCTTCTTGTTCTTTTCTTGATACACTATCCTCTCTTTCTCCTTTATTTCTATTCCAAGTAATAATGTTTCTCTTAGTGGGCCTACATACATACCCCACTACTACTACTATCACAATATAAGCCCAATTAAATAAATAGTCACATAATATAATCTAATATTATTTCCAATAATATTCTTCAACTATGATCGATCCACACATTAAATAATACTAACTTGCAAATAATATTCTAATAACAGTTCTCCGACTAAACCGTCTAATTTATCCGACTATCAACTTACCGCTCAACTCAACATATTTATCCAATTATGCTTCTTAGAATAATACGGATAATTCTCAATTTAATTCCACCAAATTAAATCCGATTATTTATCATACCACTAAATAAAATAATTCCGACTTCGACGATAAAAATTCGAATTAATATAAAATATTCAAAAATATTTAATTAAATAAATAATTAAATATCGGGGCATTACAACTCTCCCCCATTTAGAATATTTTCGTCCTCGAAAATCTACTCGATACAACCATCCTCAACTTCGTTTCCAACCTTTTTGATTCTCAGTTGCGCTTGGCAACACTTTGACTACTACCTTTTGATATAGTAACAACTCAATCATGATGTAAATCTACTACACGCATGCTAATCACTCAACACCCTCACGACATACCCGTTAATAACTTACCAACCTTTTTGGCAACACTCTGATATAATAACTCCCACAGTAGAAATGTAACAACCATAACTCACTTATACTTGGATATACCACATCACCTCTTAACAACTTTCCCAACACCAAAGCGCGTATACGACTTTATTCTCATACATATATGTATGTCAACTATCAACAAAATATCAACAACTCTATTCACCATTATAGTGACATCAACATAGTCAACAAAATTAACTGCGTCATATTATAGGATATTATTCATCACTTACGGTAACCAACAATAACATCTCAATAATGATAACAAAATCATTACAACATCAACTTAACTGTATAACTCAGCAAGCATACCCATAGCTCACCATCAACCAACAATCCACAACAATCTTCTTATAAAACCCGCAAATATTTACTAGCAAA